TTGACAGTGCTTCATAGCATGCGTTTGCGTTTTCATGTGGACGGAGATTTTTTTTTAAACGGAAGAAGGAAAAACTCGTACCACAGTAAAGCCTTTCCCTGCTATGATTTATACTAGCAGAGCTATTCAAGAATTCGTTAATATTGAGCAGAGTTTGGTTTCTAAGACTTCAAGCAGGTTCTCAACTCGGTCTGAAGTGTTCGCCAGGAACTCCACGGTGTCAGAAACCAGTCATTCTGTGGTTGAAGACCTGCAGTTTACGGAGTCATGTGGGAATACACTGGCTACCGATCAGACTAACGCAGAAGATCCTACAGAAAACAACTGCGTTGGAGAGGACACAGGTACTTTGTATCCTAAGGCCCTGCCCACACGAACGCGGTTATTTTTAAAACCACAGCTTTTTCTACGCGGTTAGGTCGTTCGTCCACACGCAAACGCAGCACCAGTTCACTGAAACCGAACATTTTTGAAAACGCCTGCCAGGGTGAAGATTTTCAAAAAACTCCGGTTGCAGTGTTGTCTTGTAGACCGCGAAACCGGAGTTTTTGGCTTTTGAAATCGGCATCTTGACAGTGCTTCATAGCATGCGTTTGCGTTTTCATGTGGACGGAGATTTTTTTTTAAACGGAAGAAGGAAAAACTCGTACCAGTACGTGTGGACATGGCCTAAATTGCAAGAACGTTGTTCATGAACCAAATTCCATGTTCTGGTTAAGGCTTTATTCTGAAAGAGCTGTTCCATAGTTACTGCAGTAATCAGGCATATAAATACGTCCATATAGATGTGCATAGATTTATACTGCTCAAAACTCAGATTAAAGGAATACTTCACCCCAAATTGAAATTTCGCGAAATATTAAATCAACTCAACTACAATGCCTGTGGGTGTTCACTGTCTGATTCGCATTTCTACTAACCAGAATATTGATTTATTAGGTTTTTGCAATTGGCTTAATCTGTTTAAACAACATGCTTATCAGAATATGACTGACTTCTGATCAATATTGGGATTTTTTTGGCAATCTAGTCAGTCATAGAAGGTAATATTTATTTATTTATTTTTGTCTTTAGGATTTTCTACGGAGTCACTGAGTGTCCAGATGTGTAAGGAGATGGTGAATGAACTCTGGCAGACCATCCATAAAGCAACTGACTTTTATAACAAGGTGATTTATCAATCTCTACCTCTGTCAGGGATAACGCATATAATTTAAAAATTTAATTATAATATAATCTTTTAGTTTTTCCATGTTTTTTTTTTCACCCTCTCTCTGATCCTTAAAATTAAAGTCTTTCTAATATATATATATATATTTTTAATCTTATTAATCTAATTTAAATCTTAATTGCCAAGGAAAGAAGTTCTACATTTTAAGTTGCTATTTGAAAGTGAAAGTAAAATGCGCACGCCGCTTTTACAAGCTATTTAAAAGCGAATTTTATATATATATATATATATATGTGTATACATTTTTAATGAAGAGATTATTACATGACTTAACTCTGGTGATGTTCTTTTTAAAGTTGAATATGTAAATGACCTTTTATATTTGCTTTTTATTTCACAATATTCTCAATCCACTACCATTCACAAGTTTGGGGTCAGTTTTTTTTATTTTTTTTATGAATTCTTTTATTCGGCAATAATGCATTTAATAAAAGTTCTATGTTTTATATATAGGCTAAAGTGAGTTTGACGTTGTATTTTGTTGTTGCATTCAAGCAATTGACGCCTAACTGCTGCTAATTCTAAAGTGAAAGTAAAATGCGCACGGCGCTTTTTAAGCTATTTAAAAGCGAAGGAAAAGAGGGAAAATTCAAACAAACTAAAAACGAACAATTGCTTTACTCCGAATTGCCGCTATTTGAAAGTGAAAGTAAAATGCGCACGCCGCTTTTACAAGCTATTTAAAAGCGAATTTTAAAAAGCGAATTATATATATATATATACATTTTTAATGAAGAGATTATTACATTACTTAATAACTCTGGTGATGTTCTTTTTAAAGTTGAATATGTAAATGACCTTTTATATTTGCTTTTTATTTCACAATATTCTCATCCACTACCATTCACAAGTTTGGGGTCAGTTTTTTTTTATTTTTATGAATTCTTTTATTCGGCAATAATGCATTACATTAATCAGTAAAGACATTTATAATATTACACAAGATTTTTATTTCATATAAATGCTGTACTTTTGAACTTTTTTTTTCATGAGAGAATCCACAACTCTTTTTAACACCGATAATAATAAGAAATGTTTCTTAAGCACCAAATATAAATTACAGTTATTCCTAATTGATACGGTGTCACTGAAGACTAGAGTAATGGCTTCTGAAAATTCAGCTTTGCACAACAGAAATTTCATTGTAAGATATATTAAAATAGAAAAATATTAAAATATTTCAAACTTTTGAAGAGTAGTGTATATTTATAAATTTGTGTGGAAACTGGTGCAACTATCTATGAAAATATAAATGAGAAAATGTATTTAATTCAATTAGATCAAAATTGCCTTAACATTCTCAATTTTCTGTAAAACTGTTGAACAATATACAATTTATTTTTCTATAAGAATTTTATAGCATTTTTACAAAGTGAAGGAACATGCCTATAAGCTAAACCTTACCATAAAACCTTAAAAAGCCATCTAATGGTAAAACCCATTTTCTATCCCCTCTCTGTAGTTGTGCTCCGTCCCGGAGCTGTCGGAGCAGCAGGAGCAGATGAAGAGTGTTTTGCTGGAGGTGTTTGTGGGGGTACAGAGTGAGCTGAACTCCCTGTGCCCACAAGAGACACGCCCCTCGCCCCAAAGCGCCTGTCCCGTACCGGAGGACTCTCCCGGCCGTCAGCTCCGGGACGACAGGACTGTGGCCCTCCTGGAGAAGTATTCAGAGATGCTCTTACTGCGAATGACTGAAAAAGGAGCACAGGCCACACTGGAGTAACTGCTCCGCTTCCATCATTTGATTGGCAAAAATGAACTTCTAATGGCATATCCATAAGCATCTTTAAACCTTAATGTCTTCCATTGGTTTTATGTTTTTAAATAAATATTTACAATTTTTTTTGTGTGTGTGAAACTGGTCTTTTATACTGCCCCGCCCTACCCCCCTTTTATTTTTTTTATTATTATAATTTTTTTTTACACTGCATTTCAATACCTGAGTGTTTTTGGTCACAAACTTTTATTATTTTTTATGCTTTGCAGATTTGTCCATGCAAATCTTCAGGACCTCCCCCCGTTATGTCCTTGATATTTTATGTACAGTTTTGAAACGGTGTTACCTTTGGAATACAAATTTGAATTATGTGATCAGTTTTGTTTTGATGTTTGATGCTTGTGTAGTTTTACACCATTTCGCACCACCACAACCACGCAGACTAACTAAGAGGTGTTCCATTGTCATTTTATTTCGAGTGTTGCTCTGAATAGTGACTTCTCAAAGCATCAGGCTATGACTCACAATTTGCTTGCCACTGGTGTGCTGATTATGCTTTGTCATGTTGACGTACAATCCTTTTTTTTTTTTTTTTCTTCTTTTCACAGAAAATGTGTAGTTGTCTGTTTTCAAAGGCTTTGTAAATATGTTTTAACCAGCTATTTGCACTGTTTTAATATTAAACTTTCAAATATGATTGTTTTTGTGGTTCGTTATCATTCTGAAAGAATTTACAAAAACAAATTATAAATCCATAGCAATCTTCTGGAAGGGATGCAGAATTACTTAGCAAAACCGGTGATTTTTAATATTTTTTATTTTTTTTTAAAGGGGTGCGATTTCAATTTTTCCTTTCTCTTTGGAGTGTTACAAGCTCTTGATGCATAAAGATCTGTAAAGTTGCAAAGACTAAAGTCTCAAATCCAAAGAGAGATTCTTTATAAAAGTTAAGAGTCAACCACACCTACCTAAAACGGCTTGTTCTAACACGCCCCCACATGTCT